TGCTTGTAGTGACAGTGGAGAGGAAAAACTCCCTTTTAACAGGAAGAAACCTCCAGCAGAACCAGGCTCAGTGTGAGCGGCCATCTGCTGAAGCCGACTGGGGTCCAAGAAGACAGAAGCAGAGACACAAAAAGGCGGCCCCGTCCAGGAAACACAGCCAGGCAGACGAGCTCTGAGCCAGCTCCCATGTCAGAGAATGAAGAGAGCACATCCAGCCAGTCACAGTCAGAGAAACAAGACTACACTGAAAAACAGGCTGATCTCCAACGTCTATAAACAAAGGTGTTGATGGAAGCAGCACAGCTGATACGAAAAAATATGAACCGTGACATAAAGAATTAGATGATCCAAGTGGCTGGAATAACTCTAGTCTTTATCATAATTCAAAATTTAAGATCTCCTTTAAAATTATTGCATCATTCTGGTAACACATTTTAAAGACATTTTCATGGTTTCTGTGTTTGGGCTGAGATTATTTTCGAAAACCAAACTATACTTATAGTCCCAATCATCTGGAGAATCTTTGAAAAAGTGGTATTGGAGCAGCTGATGGAGCACTTAGAATCTAGCACAGTTTGAATAAATATCTTTGTTTTTTTGGGCTTAGAAAAAAAAAAATCCTTTACTTCACATGCTCCATGTTGAGTGTGGTATACACCATGTCACAAAACAGCAGAGTGACTACCTTTACATTATTTTCATGAGTTAATTCTTTATAAATAATTATTTTCATAGACTCTTTTTTTATTATTATACTTATTTATTATTTTTGTCAGAGTTATTGTGTGTGTATTTTATGAAATAGGATACAAACTATTTGGTCCACATATAGTTTTTACTAATTTGAGTCTTTGATTTTGTTTAAGTACTTTTGTCCTGCTTCATTTACAGGTGGTACACATGAAGACTGGCACAAGTCACGTCCCTTGGTGGTCACCTATGTCAGACCAGGCGGTCCTGCAGACAGGTATAGCTCAACACTTAGGGATTAAAAACCACATCAAATTTTTATACTTAAATACATTTCAGTAAATCTCAATTACAAAACCAAGGAGCTTAAAGCACAGATTTTGAAGAAACAGCTGAATAAACCAAAAGTAAAATTTTCCCTCTGAGCACAAAGCTGCCGGCTTGCTTGGAATCACATTGAATCAGGGAATATTTAAACCCGGGCATACACTGTGGGATATTTTCAATTGTTGCTAACACTTTATCACGAAACTGCAGTGTTTAAAAGTTCACTTCTCACAATGTGTGTTCTCACGCTGATGCGATCTGCCTGCTCACACTGTACGTCTAAAACCACGCGGGAGTCAGCACCACAGTGTGATAGCGCTACTCAGAATCGTCTATCAGGAAGCCAAACAATTAGAAGAGGAATATGAAGCTAACTAGAGTAAAACACGCTGCCTTGGCAACCTGTGCAATTTTGTGCTGAAAGCCCTAAAAAGAAAAGGAGACGACCTATTTGGACAAAGACATGGCTGAGTAAATTTGGCTACTACGGTCTGTCAATTTTACAGAAAAAACTCAATTTCCCTCGCACCCCACCATGCTTCTGTGTTGTCCTTTGAGAAGAAGAAGAAGAAGAGTCCTCATATGCGCACTGAGTAATTAACTCACGATCACCTTACGACGGCCGGCTGAATTTCAGACATGTTGACTTTCTCCCGACCTTGCAATTCCTGAATGGGAAGTGGTCGTGAGACTCTGATCACCTCTTGTTTCCCCTTTACACCACACGATGCACGCTCAGGTTTAAAGTTGGTCCGTTCCAAAAACTCTCACACGACTCGACACACAAGACTCACAAGACCGACCGAGCTAAAAAATGCTAACCTGTTAGTGAGCACAGCTAGCCACAGCGCTACCCAGCTCTCCTCCTTTATATCATGGTCTAAAAGTTACTTTTCTCACCATAAACAGATTTGTTTCTCTTTTGTTTTTCGATCAGGTAAAACTTCGGCATGCTAACGCTACTGATGCTTCCGACTCGGCACACTGACGCTGCTTGATGTTATTATCGCATTCTGGGTAACCACAATGTATTATATCATGTTGTTCAGCCAATCAATTCAATTATAGCGCCAATTCACAACACAAGTCATCTCAAGGCACTTTACAGTTCAACCAGATCATCCAGTCAAATTGATTCAAAGTTTTCTATCTAAGGAAAACCAGTTGATTGCATCGAGTCATTGACTCAAATACAATCCCTCACACTAATTATGCTTGTAGCAACAGTGGAGAGGAAAAACTCCCTTTTAACAGGACGAAACCCTACAGCAGAGCCAGTCACGGTTAGAGAAACAGAACAACACTGGAAAACAGGCCGATCTCCAGCATGTATAAGCAAGGGTGTTGATGGAAGCAGCACAGCTGAACAATCCTTTAGCGTGACGTCATTGGCATGCGCAGATCTGACCAGCTGAGCAGTCAGATCTGGCAAAACTGAGGGCATCAAATAGTCCACCGCCTTATCTTGGCTGCCTTTGTTCACTGAAATCAAACAAATCGAGATTGTTTTCAAAGCACAGACGCATACATTTGATCTTCTTTAAGAAAAAAG